ACCCTTAAATCAAGGACCCTTTTTTGGTTACTTTATTTTCCTATTGTGGGACCCTGACCATGAAAATAAGTCATCCAAAAACAGGTACTACATTTAGGGGTTTAGGTAAGCCCTAAACCTCAGTGCCCTAAATCCCGAACCCTCATGATCGGCTGCTGCCTGCTGTCTGACGCCGACGACGTCTCGCACCATGAGCAGCAAAAAGTACATTGGTGCGGTGCCCAATGCAAACACAAAGACCTCAGCTTCGAAACAAGATCCTAAAACCCTAAAGCCTAGGGCCTAAAGCCTAAACCCTATATTTAGGGTTTAGGGTTTAGGGTTTAGGATAGGGTTTAAGGTCTAGCGTCTATAGGGTTCTGAACCCTAAACCCTAAATAACCCTAAATAACCTTAAAGGCGTTCCTTACCCAGACCCCCGGAAGGATCCAAAAAGTAGATCCCTTAGGGGGCTTCCTTTTTTTCGACCCTCTAGTGGTATAGGGTCCCAAATTAGGGGTTCTACTTTCTAGATCCTTTCGGGGGTCTGGGATAAATGGCTCTTTAGGATTTAGGGTGTAGGGGTTTAGGGTTTAGCGATTAGGGTTTCGTTAAGGAGTACTACAAGGGGTATAGGGTTTAGGGTAAGGCATACTGTAATAAGGGGTTTTGTGGGAAGGGGTGTCGAAATAATTACAATGGAGCCTGGGCCATATCTTTAATACAGTTGCAGTAAGGAGCCCTATGGAATAGTCTTGGTAACTTTTGAGGCTTCTTTCTGTGCTCCAAGTAGAACCCGCAACTCAAAACCCTAAACCCGTGAACCTTAAACCCAATCCCAGACCCCCCTGAGGTTTCAGGTGAACCCTCAACCTTGAAAGCCCTACTTGGAGGTTCATGGGACTAAATAAGGACGGCTAAAAATACCTTCTTAACTGGGGTTATAAGTTATTTTTGAGTATAGGTAAACCTGATTTATAACCCTAGTTACTAAGTCCCACGAACAACCCCCCTCCAAAACAAAAACAACAAAACGTCAAGTTCAAGAGAGCGTCGCTGAGGCAGGCCCATGGGAAGCCACCGGGCAGCCGCGCGGGCGCCAGGTACCTCAGGAAGATTGGCCTTTTGAGGGTTTGGGCGAAGGAGATCTATAAGGGGTTTAGAGGTGTGGGCACACAGACTCACTTAATTAACTTAGCTAGGTTCGGCTTTCAACCGAGATCCCCGTGACTGAACCCACGCAAGGTTTTGGGAATCACAAGCGAGAGTGCATTTCCGTGTTGAAACAAGGCTGCCAGCGCAGGTCAGGCAAGAACCACACCGTCAAGTGGCATGTCGGAAAATCACGATAGTTGTAAAGGCTCTCAGTTGAGCCTGGGCGTAGTGGGATTAGCGTTATGTCATCCGATATGTCCCAAATCTTTACAGCATCAGACGCACTTTTTGTTATGTCTAACTCGAAACCCCGGAAGCATGTATGCACTGTCACAGGTGTATGCATGAGTATACATACCTGCGTACGTGCATACACGCATACACCGAGGCAAACATGCATGCATAGATACATGCACACATGAATGCAAACACACACAATATGCATGTATACAGACATCGTTCATACACACACTATGCACACATACGAAAATATTTGTCTACCTACTTACTTGCTTACTTACTTACTTACTTACATACATACTTACTTACTCACTTACTTACTTCCTTACTTGTTTACTTACTTATTTACTTACTTACGTACGTACACAAAATTTACATACATGCTTACATCGGTTCAAAAACACTTCTGTGTAGATATGGCTACGCCTACATATCCTAGAGAACATATATATGCATACACACACGAGCGCTCACACACGCTACACACAGATACAAAAACAAACGCACACGCACGTCTGTGTGTTGCTTGTGTGAGCGCTCGTGTGCGTATGCATGAACACGTACGTACACAACATTTACATACATACGTACATCGGCTCAAAAACGCAAATTCTGTGTAGATATGGCCACGCCTACATATGCTAGAGAGCAAATACATATTCATGCATATGCACACGAGCGCTCGCACACGCAACACACAGACACAAAAAACAAACGCACACACACGCACACAAACACGGACAGACACCCACACACGCACAGAAAACACAAACACACACACGCGCGCGCACACACACACACACGCACACACACACACACACACACACACACACACACACACAAACACATGCTTGCCTTGCGCCAAACCTGTCGCGTAGGAGATTGCGACACGGCACGAATTTAGAGCGAACGCACGAAACGTCGCTTGGCAAACCCATACGTATCTGAATTTCTATCCAAAACTTTACCGTACCAGCAGACTCTCAACCTACAGCACTCACATTTGGTCTAGTGGCGCATGCGTGAGGTAGTCAAATGCCTGCTTCGACTGCAGGCGCCTTTTTGGAGCAGGTGGCCAAGGTTACAAAAGCTCAGCCCTCATTGAACCCGAACCCAATCCTATATCCTAAACCTTAAACCCAAAGTCCTCAACCCTAAGTCCTCAACCCAAAGTCCTAAGCCCTAAATCCTAAACCCTAAACCCCAGACCCCCGGACGGATCTAGAAAGTAGAACCCCTAATTTGGGACCCTATACTACTAAGGGCCCTTTATAGGAACCCCATTAAGGGATCTGCTTTTTCGATCCTCCCGGGGGTCTGGGACTCCAAACCTTCAAGCCCAAGATTCTCGCGCAACCCTAAAAACCAAATCCCCTAACCCAGCAGCAGTCGGCTGCTTCCCAAAAGACCGGTTTAGGGTTTAGGGTTTAGGGGTTAGGGCTTTTAGGGTTTAGGGTTTAGGGTTTAGGGTGGAGGGTTTAGGGTTTAGGGTTTAGGGTTTAGGGCCAGCCATGAAAATGTGATCTCGCAGATGGAGGTGTTGATTTCCTTGACACAGGCCTTGTTCTCCTCTATCTTAAGAACCCCAAACCCACTTTTTTGTAGGTTCTTAATATGGACCCCTAATATGGGATTTATAGGGACCCTACAAAAAAAAAGTAGGTTTTGGGTTCTTAAGGTAGGTAGTACTTCAGCCTCAGGCCCAGGGTAGCACAAATCTTTGCTCTTGGGCTTCTAGCTGTACCTTGAAGCGGTTTACTAAGCCCACTAATGCCTAAACCCCTAGACCCTGAATCCTAAACCCATACACCCTAAACAATAAATGACACTAAATCTCTAAACCCCTAAACCTCTAAACCCCTAAACAGTAAACCCTGAACCGTAAACCCTGAACCCTAAACCCCTACACGCTAAACACTAAATCCCTAAACCCCTAAACCTCTGAACCCCTAAACCGTAAACCCTAAACCGAAAACCTTCAACCCTAAACCTTGACCTTGGAGGCCGTTAAGTCTGCTACTGAAGTCAATGAAGGTGAAAGTCCTAAAGGGACGCCACGATTTAGGGTGTAGGGATTTAGGGTTTAGGGTTTAGGGATTCTGGGTTTAGGGTTTTGGGTTTCGGGTTTGGGTTTAGGGGTTTAGGGTTTTGGGTTTAGGGAATAGTCTTATACTCTGCCAAGATCCAGGCATACACTACTACTATCCTACTCCCACCCAGACCCCCGGGGGGGATCTCAAAAGTAGATCCCCCAATTTTGGGACCCTAACCAGTAAAGGGTACTTTACAGGGACCCCCATTAAGGGATCTACTCCCAAAGCCCTATAAACACCCTTAAACCCCTTATAATCCATATAGATCCCCTTCTAGGAACGCCTTAACGGATTGGTTTAGGATTTAGGGTTTAGGGTTTAGGGTTTAGGGTTTAGGGTTTAGGGGGTCATCTAAAACCACAGGGAAAAACTCAAGCCCCAAGAAGATCCTACAATTCCCAATGGGGCCACCCCGGAAACTGCGCGAATTCCTGTTTACGGTTTGGTTGTTTAGGGGTTCAGGGGTTTAGAGTTTCGCTGAAGGGGTTTAGGTGTTTAGAGTTTCGGTGTTTAGGTGTTTAGGGTTTAGGGGTTTGGGGGTTTAGGGGTTTAGGGGTTCAGGGGTTAAGGGAAGGGGAATGAATGAGAAATCTTAGACCCTAAACCCTAAACCCTAAACCCTAGACCCTAAACCCTAAACCCAGGCCTCATTTGGCAACTCTGCCTCACTGACGACCCGTCTTCTCGAAGCAGAAGCCTCGGGAGCTCTTCGGATTCCCAGACCCCCGGGAGGATCCAAAAAGTAGATCCCTTAATGGGGGTTCCTTTAAAGGGATCTATAGGGATTATAGGGGATTTATAGGGGGTTTATAAGGCTTTGGGAGTAGATCCTTTAATGGGGGTTGTTTTCAAGAGCCTTTAGTAGTATAGGGTCCCAAATTAGGGGCTCTACTTTCTAGATCCTAAACCCTAAACCCTTATAAAACCCTAAAGCCCTATAGATCCCTTTTAGGAGCCCTTAAAGGAACCCCCAAATTAGGGGTTCTACTTTCTACAGAGGCAATCTGAGGTAGGGGCCTTATGATAATTAGTTCAGGGGCTTTAGGGTTTTAGGGTTTAGGTTCTTATAGGGGCCAAAATAATTACCAATACTATTTTGGGGGTTCCTCAGTATACTTATATTATATCCCCCTTGCATGCCTTTAGGGTTTCAGAGTTTAACGCGTCGACGTTGTGGGCTTCAGGGCGTCGGGTGTTATCGTTCGATTCCTCCAGCATCGTTTGCGTTGAATCGAATTTGTTGGTGCTCACCACGGAGAGTACAACAGAAATTGCAGCGATCGTCACGACACAAATTCATCACGAGGCTTCTACCAAGCCCTTGGAGATGTCGAAAAACCTTTTTCTTGAAAGGCTTGGATGGGGGCGGAACGACGAATGGCCAAGGCTCCCGCATCCCACACTTCTGAGCCCTAAATCCATAAATGCTCAACCCGAAGGTGTTTCTTTATGCGCCTAAATTCGTTCCTGACGTCCTTGAAAGCCCGAGATCCTACAGCACAAGACTCCCAAAGAGCTCCCATGGCCCGTGGCCTCTGCAAAGAGAGCCTCCTGCGGCCGCTCCAACATTTCGGGAGTCACTGCCGTGCCCATGGTGAGGCAAATGGCCTGGGCTACTTCGTTTAGGGGGCTGCATTGGGTTTCGGGTTTAGGGTGTGGGCTGTTTATGGGTTAAAGTCTTCGGCTCTAAGCGGCCCATTCTAGCCGGTCCTTGTACAGGAGGCAACAAGCGGGGTTTCCAAGCCAGTCGCCTATGGGAGTGTCTGCAAACTTCGGGACATAATATAAGACGCCTTGTAATTAGAAATACAGACCCTACTTGCAGCAATACGGTGCAGCTCTCATCTTCAGCTGGTTCTCTCACGATGACTGCGAGGTGAAGCCGTAAATACCGAGACGTGGGACCACCTAAACCCCGAACCTAAACCCTGAGATTCTTAAGCTTGCGCTTCGGTTGGGGCCTCAGAGCGCAGTGCACAGTTCAAGTTTTTCTGGAATAAGGATCGGACCACACGCTTCTCGACCAGGTGACAGCACGTCGCTAGACACAAGGCATGGTTTTACATGCCCTGAGTGATGTTTCATACACACACACACACACTTTGCAGATATTCAAAACATGCGGGCTCTTTCTTCTCGGCTCCTCTCACAACCTGAACAAAAAACTGCTTCCGAAGATTCGTCGAAAAAGAACAAGCAACATCTACACAAAGCTGCAACGACCTAGTGTATAGTCTCGGCGGCAAGTCTCGGCAAGACCTTATTCTGGAAATCCCCAAGAAGGAGCCCCTCCTTAAAGCGCCCCTACAAAACTAAAGCTGGGTACATAGATATTCCTTAGTAATTACGGCTTATGGATGGACGGCATTGATAAGTGGGTTTAGGGTTTAGGGTTTAGGGGTATTTAGGCTGCTGTGTTCTCGGTATCCCGAAGCCCCGAGGCAACCAGATCCCTTGCATTCGGGACAAGCCGCTCTCAAAAGGTTTCTCTGCTCCTCCAAGCCTGTGCAGCCCAATGCAATGGGGCATATACTAGGAGTGCAGCTTCCTGAAAGCCAGAATGTAGGGGTTCAGGATTCTTAGACATTGTTGGTGCGATTGAAGCCGCCCGCCATTGCAGGTTGAAGGTGCGAATTTCTTGAAGCTGGAGACTAGTTAGAGTTCCCTTTCAGGGCGCTTGACAGCAAGAGGCCCGTGTTTCGTGTTCAAGGGGAAGACCGAGCTCTGTGCACTCGGATTTAAGCTGATTCAGAGGCCTTGGGCTTTTGGGTTAAAGCCGTAGGCTGGTCCCATGGCGGCTCTTTCATCAGGACATGGGAAGTATGGTCCATGATGAAGATGAAGAAGATGAGGATGAGAGCAGCATGCCCTGTGCCGCTGGTCCTACGGCGCACCAGATTTCACTGCGGCAGGGTGGTGTGATGACTGCATTTCCACCGACATTCAAGGTAGAACAACGGTCCGTTACTGACGTTATCACTGTAATTCGTTTTCTGTCTAGACCCCTGAACCCTAGGCCCCTCTTCTGTGATTTGGGGTCCCTCGCGTGCCTTCTTTGAGCTCAGCCGAGGCATCGGTGAGTCGCTTGAAGGCATCGTGGGCCTCGGTCGCGCGTGACTTTCGAATTGGAGCTTTCAGTCTGTGGGTCTTAAGCCGTGTAACTGTCATTAGTACTATTATTATTCGAATTTTCTTTTCACATTCGTCTTGTTATCACTGTTATTGATGTCTGTGGGGTTGGAGGGTTCGATGGCGAAGCTTGTTTGTACAGGTAGGATTTCGGCAAATCTGAAATACGTTCCGGCTTTACGTCTGGGCGTTCCAGTGTCAAGTATGCCATCACGCATTCTTTTATCCACACTCACATAATGGATAATCTAAACTTCTGATTGGTAAGTCCCATCATTTTAATATGGACACAACAAGGAGCGATCGTTAAGGCACGGGTCTTCATGAGAGCACTAAGGGCTCAACCACACAGCTTTCGCACCGTGCATGCTGTCTAGAAAAAGAAGCAGAAGCCTCTCCCCCAAAGTTCTCAAACCCCAGAGGCATAAGAGCAGCACCGCAACCTGAAGCCAAGCGAGTTTTGAGCTGCTCACGAGTGCTCTGCTCAACACATTACGCTCTGAACAAAATCGTGCTACCCATCAACGCCATGATACCTAACATCTCCGAACCACTGGATCCAAATAAAGACCCAAACTTGCGAATCGTTGCAAACAAGTTGTCTAATTTCGGGGACATCTACTGCTACTAACTCACACTCACCCCCCAGCACTTCAAAGTCTCTTAGAGAACCCATTCTTGGAGGCCTCCCTACCGCTGGCCTCTTCGATATCCGGATTTTTGTCCGGATGCAGCGCGCGCGAGAGCTGCCGGTACGCGTAGTTGATATCTGCCTCCAGGTTTCACGGATTTGTTGGAGGCCAGGCAAGGATCTGCACAAACGATGAAGTCTCGAAAGGTAGCCTTCATGGGGCCTTCATGGTCCGTATCTGGGGTCATGGTGTAGGGTTGATTATAGGGTTTGGGTACCCTGAGCTGAAGGATCATCGCCATGATGTCAACGGGTTCATCGACTCAGGGCTGTTGCAAATTGTGGTGGAGTGGAGCTGCATTTCGGTTGCTGGCAGGTCCAAATGCAGTGGATGGCTCGAGGCTTGCCGGCGCGACCTGCTTTTTCTCTATAATCGTACCCAGCCAGCATTGTCAATATGAAGGTGGCTCCCATTAGGGGTTCCCTTATCGACAAGACACCTTAAAGCCTTGAAGGATCAACTTCGGATCAACAAGCAGACCAACCTCCTCAAGCTGAAAAGCCTCTAAAGCAAAGAGGATGTTTGTCCATCGCCATGAATTTCAAAAAATGCAATCCCAGACAGCAGTAGCCCGACCCCACCTTCCACGGATGCTTTGCCTTCATTTCTTTCTCTCTCGCGTATAAAAACTCCAATGAGCCCAGACGGCTCTACACCCAGAACTTCCCCGGTGTCAGGCTTCGTTCTTTGGGCTAAGGGTTGCGGCTTCAGCTGGCAGAAATCCTAAAGATACCGTAGGTAGCCACAAGTATGGCTATGGCCGGCTCGGCTGAAGCTTTCAATGAAGCTTTCAAATGTCAGGGAAGACACATCCCTACAACGCGGTCATGAATACCTGCATTGCTCCCTGACTTTTGTACACATGTACACATAAACCAACACGCACTGATACGTTTACGTACACTTACTCACACAGACACATTCCTCGCTTAAGATAGTGACAAGTGTGCCGCCAGCTAGTCATACAGCGGGTGTTCACAAGAGGATTCATTCTTCCAGCTGAGCAGAAGTGGGCAAGGTCTGGGTGTGAAGAAACGTGACAAGAGTCCATGGCTTGAAAGCAGCTCTATTCTTTGGGGTCCTTGCCGATGCCGAGAACGCAACCCAGCATGCTCTGCAAAGTGACCAATCAAGAACCAATACAACCTTATTTCTTTGAGGAACTGAGAGCAGGCCTTGCTAGAGTTAGCATGAAACACCAATGAGGCCGAAGCAGATGCATGCAGGGTCAGATCCTCAACTACTCGAGACCCGAGCATTCAGAAGACTTCAGCATGAAAGTTGTATCTCACAGGTGATGCCGCGTAGTCGATGCCGGTGTTCAGAACGATTTTGGGATCCTCAATGCTGCCTCAGTGGCAATGTCCGAATCCCTCGAAGAGTGAAGTGCGATGCAACGTACGTAGTGCAGTAAAGACTAGCAACGGAACCATGTTCGTATCGTCTTCAAGTCAAACCCTTCGGTGCAAAGGAATGCTGTCATAAGTCGTTTTCACGAGTGTTGAAACCAAATCGAGTGCCTGTCCTCCGGAAACCGGGAAGAGGATCAATGACCCAGACATTGTTCGTCCAAAGAGGTGTTTAAGTAAGGGTTCAGGGTTGTAGGGTCAGAACACGTTAGGGACACTCGGAACGTACCCTACGGCAGCACAGGTGAGACCCAAACCTATGGTCATGAGTCATGACACCCAAGGGAAAGCTAAACTCCGTGATGGACGAAATCCCAACTCAACCCTACAAGCTCTACAGCATAGACGTGGATAGCAGTATCTCTTTTCGACCCTTTTGAAACCCTACACAACCGTACAAATCAACCTTTCAATCCTTCAGCCCCACAAGTCCAAAACCCTCACTACCCCAAACCCTGATAACAACCCGAACCCCTAGCCCAGACCCTGAAAGCTCCACGCCCTGAACTTGGTGTCAGGGCGCAGGGCTGTGGTGTAAGGAGGGAGACCACGTAGGCCCAGTGGCTGTCTGGCTGCCCACGGACTTCGATAACATCCTTTCGGCACACATGGGATAAACACAAACATCCCAAACAGTGGAAATGCCGTGGTGTTACGAAAGTGAGAGGAATTATATCTACTGAGGCTGCGAGGCGCCCGGCAGGGGCGTCCGGCAGTCGAGTCGGTGCTGACTGCAGGGTCCCACATTTTCTTGTCCTTCAGCCCTGTGCTTCCGCCCCAGTGCCGGGCCAGAGGGGGGAGTCAAGAGGAGGGGGGCCAGGGGGTCGAGGGGTTGGCCAGAAAAGGCAAGTGCCTTTTTCGCGGTTGTTTACCCCCCTGGCAACTACCGGAATTCAGCATTTTCGGGCAGCTTTTTCTGGGGGGAGGCTGTTGTTACGTAGTGGACTGCTAGGCGCGGTCTGGCTGCACGGCGTCTACGCTGGGACACTGCGCTTTGCGAGATTTCTGGTACAGGGTTGAACCAGATATCATAAGATCTCTATTGACTGTTTGGGCTTTGTAGAGTTGCCTTCATCATTTACGTGCCTAGCGATGTCCGCCTTTATTGGACCTCTTTTGCGATGCTTTCCTTGAGCTCTTCGCACACTGGTTTGTAGGTTTAGAGGGGGGAATCCCGAAAAAGCCTGAGACGCCCACCCGAAGTCTAGAAGCACACTGAACACCGAGGCCAAGGATCTGTGTCGTCAACCACCACCTTCGTCCACATGGCAAAACCGGAAAAGCGGCAGCTTCCGTTTGGATCCACCTCAGCGTCTCTTGCTCTCCCGAAGTTCTTGTTCAAAAAACCCCAAACCTTAAACCTTTAAGCTCACCAACTTCCGGAACACCTTCCGTCAACCTGGCGTCATGGTGTAACGCAGCGGCCTGGATGATGAGGTTTTGTATTGATGAACCCTACGGGAAAAGTAAGCATTCTAATTATGATGAAGGTTTCTCTATTTGGGTTGGGTCTTTGAGTTAAGACGGAAGGTCGGCACGGTAGTGACCTTCATTCGGGATCCCTTCCTTTCCGAAGCCTACTTCTGCCATCCTAAACCCTAAACCCTCAACATCGAACATATCCAACACCGCAAGCCCTGTAAAGCCGCAAAAGTCTACAGCCCCCTAAAATCCAGACACTCCTTAAGACTTCTTTTCGCAAAACCCACACAAATCCCCAAACTCCCGCACCCACATCTCCGAACACACTAAAGGGCTAAGCCCGAAGAAATCTTCCAAGTCTTAAACCCTAAAGTGAAACCGTACGATCCCCCAAGAAAAACCTGAAAATCCTAAAACCACAAAGACCCTAAGATCCTGCTAAAAACCAAGAAGTCCTAGACTTCTAAATAAAACCCAATACCCTAAGATACCCCCCCCCCCTCCCGACCTTGAACTCGAGGGTCTTCTGCTGCTGACGCGATGTCTCCGATTCGGTGTTGCCTTGGTTCGGGGTGGGAGGGTTTAGCCTTTCCACTCTCACTCTCGCACAAGGCAGGCAAGGCTCCACACGCCTTTAGAGCTTTTGTGTTGAAGGGCCGTAGTAGTGTAGGGCTCTAGAGCTGCATGAAATTCGGGCTGTCTTTAGGTCTTTGCAAGCTCAAGACTATTTAGACTGTTTCGCCTTGGTCTCAGGCTTTAAGGCTTCAGAGGGTCTGCACTCGCAACCAGGCATAGAGAGCCGACATTTGGCTTTCCTTGACTCAGGGCCTTAGGGTGCAAGGTGTCATGCTCTATTTTGCCAGGGTCTCAGGGTTCAGGGTTTGTTTAAGGAGCAACATCCACGGCATGACACATCCCGAAATAACACACTGCGAACCCAGGCCATAATGAGTATATGCCCCAGGCTTCAATCACAAGTCCATCCCCCCCCCCCCATAAACTCCCCTTACAATGCTCAAACCCATCTAAACCTGCAAAACCAAATCAAGTGGCAGTAGTCGAAGTCCTCCAGAATCTGCGGCTCTGCTAGAAACTCCTGAGTAGCTGCCAAACACAGCCTTTGTCTTGTTGTTCGTGGAAGCGGTGAAGAAAACTTGAGTTTTCAGCGGTGCAGTGTACCTGCCTTTACAAAGGGCTCACACCAGTCTTTGTCATTGGGACTCCTGTAGTAAGCTCGGTCGGGGTCGAGGCTACCGGCGGAAACATTTGCATACTCGATGCCCTGATTCAAGCCGTCGAATCATTGCGATCAAACTGCCCAGACATTTTCACAACGAATGCTGTAGCAGCTACACGGGGAGGAGTGCAGCTGAGGGCCCGGCATCATAGACAGCAGTAAAAACCCGCAAGCATGGGATTTTCAAAGCACCACCAACTCTCGAGGCTTTACGCGTTGTGTTGCGGATCCTGAAAAGGATCTTTCGGGATGCCGTAGTGCGTTAAGTAAGCACCGCAAGACTTGGGAAGCAAACTTGCAAGCCCGAAATCTTGCAAACCTAAAGAAGTTTTTGCGCACTCAACAGCCTATCTTGCAACTGGTACGCATCGAATCAGTTCAACCAAGACGGAGCGGGAAGTAGCACAGCTCCACGCTGGACTCTCCGCGCAACAATAACAACTTGCCCGTTTCAAGGGCTCCACGTGACTTTGTTTCTCAACCCTACTTCCTCATGAGACCTTCGAAGCTTGCGACACCCACCCGGAGCACAACAAGCTGTCAGGCCTTGGAGGTATCATCAAAACCCTAGAGTTAAAGGGCTTATGGTGTTGTTAAGACAGTCTGTTGAAGCCCCTGACCTCTACTTCAGGGTTCATGGATGGTCAGAAGTAGGGCTAGCAGTTGCACCTCCAAGCTTTAAAGGGTTATACACCATAACCTAACCCAGGCATTTTAACCTCGACCTGCTCACAACTACCCATGAGCATTAAACGAATAAACCCATGAACCCGTAGGCTCAGTCAAAGAGTCCATGTTCCCCTCGTCCGAGGATTTGATCCTCAATGGCAGGTTCGTCCCAGGGGCTGGCGTGCCTCCGGGGACATGACGTTCAGAGTCTCAGGCAACAGGGGATATAGGACCCTCATTGGCTTTAGCGCTTCTAGGATTCAAGGCAACGGTTTAGGGTTTAGGGGTTTAGGGTTTAGAGCTTCAGAAGCTAACTTAAGACTTAAAGGCTTTATTCGCGCGGC